GGTATCATCAAGTAACGATTCTCCAGCCTACCATCACAAATATCGACCATGAAACTAACTGCATTAGCTACTGTTTCTTGCATAGTTCTACAACCACTTTTTTCCCCCCAAACTTCACAATCTGATCTATTATCACAATGTGAGCCTCTTCTAAGAGTACCTGACCAGCAGATGTTTACTGATATGACATTTCTGTGTACTGTTTTATTCTGCTAACTCTTGTTCAGAGACAATTTAAACATCTGTTCCAATCTACACCTGCTTCTATGCTTGGCAATCCCCATATTTATTTTCAATCTTTTAATAAAGTTATTGATCGATGAATGCACATTTTCAGTCCCGTTGTTGTTTTCTAATCATTAGAAGTTTTCTAATCTAAGAAGTTTCCTTTGACAACTAAGTTCAGCCAGGATCTCAGTAGGCCAGTGAGTGCCGTGGCTACAACAGCAGCACTTATTTCAGCTCCTATCAGGTTTCTGAATCCTGCTAAATAGTCAAACTGTGTGAGCTGCCACCCTGAGCTCTCTTCTCCAGGGTGGTTACGATAAAAGAAAACCGATTGCTAACATCATGCATTGAGTCCAACAGCCAGAGAAGCCTGACCTGCTTAAGTCCTCACAGACTGGAAGGTGGCCCATTGTCCTTACTGCCCCAAGTTGTGTGCAGAGTTCAAACACCATGGCTGGGGCAAGAGAACCTCGCTCCATTTATTTTCCTTTTTGGCATTAACATTGCTTCAGCAGTTCCCAGGCAAGCCTACTGGATCACAAATGACCGCTGCTGTGGCAGTATGGATGTGGGAATTTAAAATTTTACTGTTGCTTTCCTGTGTTACACAAGCATGAGAATGGACGTGTGGGCTTACACTACAATGCAACACAGCTGAACATCAGCAGAAACTCACAGAACAACCTCCTGTTTGTGGGTTTTTCTTTCCTCCTCAGTTTAAAAGAACTTATCGCAAACATCTCAGACATTAGTGGTTCTCAACAGAAAAATAAAATTATAGGAATGCACAGAGCAAGAATTTATTGATGCAGTTAGAAAGCCCCCTTTAACACCTAAATGAGCATCTTCTAATAGCCTGTTATGTTCCTTTACCCTCTCATTTCAAGAAGACTTCACCACAAGCGATATCACCAGAGGTCTCTATCAGCTTTCCAGAATAAAAACAAGAAAAAGGGGAAAAGCTTTAGGACTTTCCCATTGTCTGCACTGTAACATTTCTCAGTAAGATTTCCCACTGACATATAGTATAATATACTCAAATTACACCATCAATATTTATTCAGCATAAGCACCAACTCTATTAGGCATGGCCAACTTTTGAGCTATTCATGCTTTTCTTTTGAAAAGGGAGATCATTTGAATCCTTCACTTATCTCTTCCTGCCTACACTTGGTCCAGAGAACAGCTGAAAATATTAAAAAATATTTTCAGTGATGAGGTTTCAGACTATGTAGACAACTCTGCTCTAGGTTCTGCTGAGAACACAGCCCTAACTTCAGAAACTTGGACTATAAAGAAACTAGCAGCAGAACTGATATGCCTTAGGCACATACAAATTCAAGGGAAAAGTTAAAATCTAAAATCTAAATCTATCCTCTAGTAGAGAAATTAGAACAGCTCTCCAACATCTATCAGCTTATGCATACAGCTCTGTTGAAAACTCCTGCAATAAGAATACCCTTGTAAAACTACCATAAGAAACTCAAGATAATACCTGTTTGACATACTTTGTGAAAATGACAAGATGAATAACATGAGCATAAATTTGGAAGTAAGTACCCTAAAATTTTCATATGCTCTTTTGAAGGAAAGAAGGCTCGTGATCATGCAGTCCCTCAACAGCCCTCAGTAACTTGCTCCTGATGACCAGTCCCAAGCAGATTTGACAGCACACTGCGTTCTTAAAGCTCTTCCAAGCTGTCAACCTAGCTGAAGGTTTTCACTTAAAAAAACAAAACAAAACACCAAAAAACCCACATTAAATTAGCATCCATACCAGAGAGGGAGCTGCAGCATGAGTGTAACTATTATTTGTTCTCCCAGGCAAGCTGGCTGCTAAGAACAGAAGAGCTGGGCAGTCAGCAAACAGTTTTCCATCAGCTATAGCAGTATGCTGCTTTTGTCCAGCCGGTACCCGGGGAAAGGCACACAAGGCCTGATGCATCAAAATAGCAGGGAATAGAAAGAGGTTAAGAACTTGCAGGGAGAAATTGCAGTTGTTACAGCGGTGAAAGATTATAGAGGTTACAGAAAGAAACAGGGTTATTGCAGTGGGGGAGATAAAAGGCACAAGATTTGTTATTCCCCACCACCCACCCAGCTTCATTAGTTTTAAGACTCAAGGAACCATTTGTTTGTTTATTGCCATGTGTCACCACATACATACAGAGAATGCAATATACATAGTACTGTGCAATAACAAGGCTGGCAGCTCCATAGTCATTGATACAGTTCAGGAAATCACGCTGCAGTACATGCTGTATTAACCTTTCCTAAAAATTATGGCATCCTCTGAAAGGGCATTTATGAGCTTTGTATTACTTCAGGGTATAAGCAAAATGTTTATGACTTGACAGCCTTCATCCACGTTCACTTCATTTAACGTAACAGCAACTTTCATTTACTAGTTCCCCTTCAGCAAAATTCGTTTAGGAAATCTGACTCTGCCAGTCATCTAGAAACAGATTTTCCTCTCCAAATCCCAGAGAGGAACTGTATTTGCAACCATCTTTACCTTATAGTTAGCAAAACAAACAGGGCATTCAATTCAACACTGTCCACTAAAATGGCATTTTGCTTTCTGGACTTTTTTTTTTAAAAACACTTTTCATACAGAAAAAGGAAAAGTTCTTCTTATTTTCCCCTTCTTATGCCTCCGAGTCGGCTCGTGTTCTTAAAAGTACTGCCTTCCTAGTAAAAAAGGCTCTGGACAAAGTGGACAGAAGATGAGAAGATTATCTTTCCCTGTCTCCCAAAGGAAAGAAGACACAAGAATGCCTGTGAAACCCCAGAAACAAAGATGTATTCAGACCTACTGTAAAATGTTGAAATCTATCACTAATATACACTGAGTATCAGTTAACTGCATGAGGAATGCACATAGTCACAATTTTAATGGCGCATGGTACAGCATAACTAATAAATTGAAGCAACGTTCCATATGTTATCACTTTCTACTCTGCGCAACATCTGGAAATGCAAATGTTGCACAACAGGATATTATAGAACATAAAAAAAAAGAGAGAGAATATTCCATAATCAAGTTATTTTTTCTAATAAGGCTTTGAGAAACTCTGAAGCGCAGCCATTCACGTATGCAGTTCACTGGTGCACCGGAAGCCTTTTTGGAGGACAAGCAGTCTCTAAAAATACACAGTTACTTACAAAAGTCGACATAAAAATATATAAACAAGTTATATGGGTATTTTGCTTTGTTTTAAGTTGAAGAGCTTTTGCAAATGCAAGGTATCGTGGTAAACACCTTAAGGTTCTGGAGAAGACCAGACTGGTTTTGATACCGCTGAAGCTTCTTTGCAGTACTTTAATGTTTACCTTCTGAAAGGGAAAAAAAAAAAAACCCAACAAAACCCAAAACCAACCCACAAACAAGAAAACCCCACACATCTTTTCTCCTCCCTTACCAATTAATCTACATACTGAACAAAACTCATTAACAGGAAGTGGCATGATTATTATTATTTTTACATTCTAAAGTAAAGAACCTAATAAGAGTCTCTACCAAGCAGAGAAAACAATACAATCTAATGGGAGAACACTTGTATTTTAAATCCTCACGCAAACTTAAGAGGTGTATCTAAGATGTTTTAGAAAGATTCCAATCATGTAAGTATAACTGAGGACAAATCAGTGTAAGGCTTCCTTCATTGGGCAAGTAAACTAAATCATTCAGCTATACTTTAAAATAAAGACTAGTCCTGCCAAATACACATTTAAGCCCTCTCCTTGGAACTCTTTAAGACATTTCTTAAAAATAAAATAAACTTCAGAAGAAGGAAACCACCTAAACCGTTCAGAAACTCCACTTCAAACACAAGAACTCCAAGTACGCAAGCATCACAAAATGGGCAGCAAGACCTTTCAGAGAAGCTGTTCTGCCTTGTCATTAGATAAAACAGAGCAAGGTCAGTCATCTCATAAAACTGTATTTCCCAATACAGGCTCTAGAATGGAATCATAAATGAGGCTATTGAGTCTCGATTATAACGCACGACGGAGTCTACAGGTTGCATAGATCCTAGGAAGGAACAGGAGTACAGACAGAAGGCAATGTCTTCCCATCACAGTACACAGATTTTCCAAATCACTTTAGAAAAAATACTTTGAGGAAAAACTCGTTAAAGAAGGGCTGAGGACTGAGAGTACAAAAAACTTACCAGACCACAGTAATTCAAAGATTTCTTTTCAAAGGAAGAGAAGTAAAATGTAGCTCCGTAGAAGCCAATAGCAAAACCTTTGACTTCAACAAGAACGTAACTTCCCTGCTCACGTTTAACATTCATTGTATCTAACTCAAAGGAAATTTACTGATACTAAGAATCATTACAGAAAGCAGAAGAGCCAAAATAAAATCTCTAATCTTACAGTTGACAAACCAAGAACAATTTCAAGTGTTCTTCACAAGATGCTTATCCTTAACAATTACTTAAGCTTTCCACATAAATTATCTTGTTCTATTTGACTTCCTTTTAATAAGACAGTTAAGGTATTGAGATGCTTTTCTTCTCCTTACCTCAACAACTGAGAGTTTTAATAAGGAAGCAGTATTACTGGTATTTACGTAACAGTAAACCAATACTGATAAGAACACTGGTATGTTTTGCTAGAAATCTACAACAAGTCTCAGAAATACTTTGTTTTGCCATATTTACTATCTGACTGCCCTTATGCTGAAGCAGAGGCCATCAACTGTTTTGAAACAGTGCAGGAAAAGATACGATTGCAACAAAATACCACCGTCACATAATACTTACCCTAACTGGGGGGCTCCGTGCTTGCACCCTTTGCTGCTGTCCAACTTGAGAGCTCTGCAGGTCCTTTGATCCGCAATTAGCTACAGTATTGATAGGGACCCTTAAAGCATTTGTGCTACCAGTCCCACCACCAGCACCGGGTTTTCGAGGCCTCTGTTTGATGCCGTCCAGTAGTCTAACAAGCAAAATATTACTGGGAAGTTCGTCAACACTGCAGTCCACTAAAGTCCTGCACTCTGGGCATCGAAGCTCATTTCGAGAGCTCACAATGCCCAGCAGACAGCGTTTACAGAATGTGTGCTGGCAAGGCAAGACTTTTGCAGAAGCATCAAGGCGTTCTAAGCAAACAGGACACTCCAACAGATCCAGCAAAGCTGATTCATCCATTTTCTTTGTATTACTTAACCAAAAAACAAATCTTTGCAGAATTTGTGTGTTTTGAGCACTCCAAGGATATCATGTTACATCCATTCCTCTTCTGACCGTCCTCTGAAATTTTTTGAGGGAAAAAGGCATTAATAAGCTGGAAAAAGAGTCAGCAAGACTATTTTATATGAAGATGTTCATAAAAAGAGTAAAATAGAAGATCTCTAGACTAATTCAGTAGATATTTTCAATAAATGAAACCTCAAAATAACAATAAATAATAATAGCAATCTACATTATGTAACAAACGCTAACAGCTAAGGTTTTTAAATTCAAGTCCCCATAGATGTTGATCTTGAGCAATTTTATTTTCACAAATTATTCCAGAACGAAGAGCTATCCGCAGTACAGCATTATAATAAAGCTTACTTTTCATAGTTCCTGCTTAATACACCTGTATCTCTGAACGTTTATTTGAAATTAGCTTTTTTCACAACAAGAAGACGGCAAAGGTAACTACAGCTGGGTCCAAAACAACAGAGCATACACCAATAGGGCACAGCAAGGGGAACTACATCTACACCAAGACTAAGCCAATAGCAGACTACATGTCTACCATTTCTGTGAAAAGTAATAGCAACGCATTACACACATCAGTCTTGAAAACAGCCTCTAGCTCACAGGGTTTTAAGCTTACCACAGGCACTGACAAGAGGGTTCATTACGGTGCCGCCTTGAAGCAGCACTTCAAAAACTATCGCGAAGTGATTTACAGCAGGAAGTGCTACTGCCATATCGTTAGGACAACACGAGTGCTGCGTATGCAGCCGCAGCGGCGAGCCTTCAGCCAGCTTAAGCGTATGCAGCGAGGGGCTGGAAAAAGGGAGGGAAAAAAATCCCACCACCAAAAAGCCCCCTAAAAAAACACCAGGCTGCTCCACAGGGGAGAAAATGGCTTGTTGAGTTCGGTAGTCCTCACCGCTACGCGCCCGCGTACTTGGCGCGGCAAGGCAGCCCCAGCCCGGGCGCGGGCCGCTGCCCCCGCGCTTCCCGCGGCGGCCCGGCGGGGAGCCCG